ACACCGTTTTGACCACATCCTCAGCCCATAGACATTTTATAAAAATACTTGTAAAAACACCCACCGAAAGCCTACACAAATACAGCAGGAAGTGTGACAAACATGACTGTATTGCAGGGTTAAGTTTTTTTTGTACATTTTTAACTTGAGCTAGCTTTCAACCTTTCCTGAGCTTTGCCTTAAACAAGGTATAAAAAGTGGTCTTACTATAAATGAGCAAAAGGGTGCTTTTAATAAAGTACTAAAGTATTGCTAGAGTATTTTTATTAAATAGAAATCAGTTCACTTCTATATCAGTTTCTCTCAATTTGTACCCCTTTAATTACTCTTCCACATTGTTAAATTTATTATTGCTCTCCTATCAAATTTCGTTACAAATTATACTTTTTTTTAAATAACAAAAGAGACACTTAACAAATGTGCATGAAAATGTTAACCAGCTATTAATATTAACTTTATTTATATGGCACTTTTCAAAACACGGCGTTACTATGGGTTATTTTTCCACGCAGACATGAAAGATGTTTCACGGCGGCAGCTTTAGAGAGCATCAATACTATTAAACACAATTTGTAATCATTTAGAGCAGGCATGACAAACTCACTACTTTGATCTTAAGCGTGCCGGATCAGTGAAACTCCTATTTTCTGTCAGTGTAAAGAAACTAAACTACACAACTGTGAGATGAGGAAAAGATGTGCGATTTCAATAACACGTCTCGGTTTTTGTACATAACAGAAAGATGCTGCTGTTGAAAACAAAAGAAACCTGTGAGCGTGGATCTTTCTGTAAGAAATAAATGTGTAGAGTTACTGAAAATGGCATTGCTCAGACTATCCTGTGATTATAAAGTACACATTTTTATTTATGTATTTTTTGTTTACCATGAACCCATTCTAAAAACAAACAAACAAATAACTGGAAAACTGGAACTTTTCTATCATTTAATTGTTTAGCTGTTTAGCTTTAATTATGTTTGTGTAACATGAATAACCCAAGGTT